AAATAATAAATTTTGTAAGGTGATTTAGGTGAGTGAATAAGAGTAAAATGTTCACTTTTGGACATATTAAATGAAGAAATAGGATCTCTGGGTAGAAATAACTAGTCAGGAAATCTATTTAGACACATGGAAAAATAACTTTGCTAATTTATTATCATATCATGGCATTGACACTGGTGCATATGACAGAAGGCTTTGTTGACCATTGTGATTCTTGTGTTCATTATCTTATTTAACCCTTACTCTGATTCTATAAAGTATAAAAATTTTTTTGCATTCAATTAATGATAAAATTGCAATTTACAAACTTAAAAGTAAAACTTACCAGCTCTTAGTAATGGAAGCAATATTTGACCTTGATTTTTTTCTCCCTACAGCTCTAGCTCTAAAATATCTGATAAAGCCTCCCAAGATATACTCATTGAGGAAATGAATGAATTACAGTAGTGTAACAAAACACACTGCTATATAAGAGTTAATAGGATACATATGTAGTCAGCAACAAACAACAGTATTTCAATAGCAAAAAAACCCCAAAACCAAAAACAAAAGCAACGCACACATAAAAGCCAGTTTTGAGGAACTAATTTATTTGAACACACACAAATATTCTTAAAATATTTTTTAAAAATGCATATGAACTTTGGTTACAATAATCAATTTCCAACTCAATGAATTCTCAACCAATGAAATGAGCAAAATGTAAAAGAACGTATTGCACAGATTTTTTTATACATGGGCCCAAAGTAGTTTCCCCTGTGCTCCATGCAAAATTAAATTAATATTATTAATTAAGGAAATTATTGTTTTCAAATAAAGCATTTACTGAATGTGACCAATAATTTACATTGTTCAAAAAGTATTGAATGCCAGTATGTAGGATTTTTTTTTCTCTAGAAATTTTACTTTAATTTGGAAATTATAGTAATAGCTATAAAAGGCTACATTGACTGGACATTTACCTAGTAAAATAGAAGTACCACTGAAAATTATAATAAGCGGTTAAGGAGGACTTGAGAAAATCTATGACGATATCTAAAAAAACAGAATATATGTAACAGAATAAAATATATTTAAAAATAAGTTTCCATATTCTTAAAGTGAATAACTATAAGCTTTCCATCATGGTACACAATATTGCAAGCTAAAAAACATGTTTTCTGAAGCTAGAGTACATGGTTGAAATTCTACATTACTACTTCCTTGTGTAACCTATATAATTCCTCAGTCTTAGTTTACTAATGGATACAATGAGAATAATAAATGTCTATCCGACTGTATAATTTTTTGGGTTAAAGAAGTAAATACATGTAAAGTTCCCAATAAACAGGAAAATACAGTGATCAATATTTGAAAAATAATCAATATTTGATTATTATTCACCATAATAAATCAAAAGAAACTTGTGACTAAACATTATTACTTGAGAACATTTAAACAGAGCATGGAACAAATAAAAATGAAAAAAACACCACTTGTATGTATAATATGCATTGTCCAATGTATTGAGAAACTTTAAATTATGACAATAATTAGCCTAGTCATTCCATATTTTAGAATATTAAAATGTTACCAATAAATATAGATTATAAAATAGTATCAATAATAAATAACAATTGTTGCTAACAGTTATTGAAAGCTTCCAAAAAAGAGGCCATCTTTATTTCCAAAAGAAAGAAAACATAAAAGTATAGCATCAAATATCTCTGTTGAAAGACACAGCTGAATGGGGAAATAGCATGTTGGGGACAAGGTTTTGTTTTTGGTGTTCCATAATTATTTACACATTTGAAAAACTCTATTGTATTAAATTTATCTGGAATAGATGCTGGATTATTTTTCTTTTCACTTAATTAATTTACTTTTTTTCCTCACTTTGTTTTCATGTTTTTGGCATATATCTGATTTTTAATAAATACTCTATGACATTACTGATTCTCTCTTGCTGATTTCAGTGACTTGGTAAGATAGAGATTTTATAGGGTAATTTGGGTGAGTGAATAAGAGTAAAATGTTCACTTTTGGACATGTTAAACAAATAGAATCTCTGAGTAGGGATAGTCAGCAACTCTATTTAGACACATGGAAAAATAACTTTGCTAATTTATTTTCATATTTCCCATGTCTATCATGGCTTGACACTGGTACATATGACAGAAGGCTTTGTTGATCATTGTGATACTTGGGTTTCATTGATTATCTCATTAAATCCTTACTTTGATTTTATAAAGTATAAAAATATTTTTTGCCTTCAATTAATGATAAAATTGCAATTTACAAACTTACAAATAAAACTCAACAGCTTTTAGTGATGGAAGCCCTTGATTTTTCTCTCCTCACAGTAGCTCTGTCTCTAAAATAGCTGATAAAGCCTCCCATGAAATATTCATTGAGGAAATGAATGAATAGCAGTAGTGTAAGGAAACACACTGCTATTGATATTTAAGACATATAAAAGTTAATAGGATACATATGTAGTCAGCAACAAACAAGAGTATTTCTATAGCAAAAACAAAACAAAATAATAACAAAAACAAAACAACTCACACATAAAAAGTCAGTTTTGGAGAATTAATTTATTTGAGCACACACAAATGTTCTTCAAATATTTAAATAATACATATCAACTTTGCTCAAGAATCATAGACTTTCAACTCAATGAACTCTCAACTAATGAAATGAGCAAAATGTAAAAGGTTGTATCAATATATCACAGATCATTCATACATGTGCCCAAAGTAGTTTCCACTGTGCTACATACAAAACACAATTAATATTACTATTTAAGAAAATAATTGTTTTCAAATAAAACACTTACTGAATGTGACCAATAATTTATATTCTTCAAAAAGGTATTGAATATCTGTAATTAGGATTTTGTGTCTCTGGAAATTTTACTTAAATTTAAAATCATAGTAATAGCATTAAAAGGCCACATTGACTAAACATTTATCTAGTAAAATAGAAGTTATCCCTGAGAATGTTATAAAAAGGGGTCAAGAAAGAATCCAGAAAATGTACCAAAATATTTAAAAAATAAAGATCATATGTAGGAAAATAAAATATATTAAAAATAGATTTCCATGTTCTTAAAGTAAAAAAGTATGACTTCCATCATGGTAGACAATATTGCAAACTAAAAAGCATGATTTTTGAAACTAGAGTACATGGTTGAAATTCTACATTACTATTTGTGAAACTTATATAACTCCTCTGTCTTAGTTTACTGATAGAATGAGAATAATAAATGCCAATCCCAACTGTATAGTTTTGTGCACTAAAGAAGTAAAAATGTGTAAAGTGCTCAATAAACGGGCAAATACACAATGATCATTATTTGAAAATGAAGTCATTATTCGGGAAACCATAAAAATACTAGAAGCATCCACAGGCAGCAAAATCTCAGACGTATGCCAAAAGAACTTCTTCACTGATACTGCCCCTAGGGCAATGGAAGCTAAAGAGAAAATAAACAAATGGGACTACATCAAAATAAAAAGCTTTTTTACAGCAAAAGAAACCATCAACAAAACAACAAGAAAGCCCACGGTGTGGGAGAACATATTTGCAAATAACACCACTGATAAAGGTTTAATCTCTAACATCTACAGACAGCTGATACAACTAAATAAAAGGAAGATGAATGATCCAATTAAGAAATGGGCAAGGGACCTAAATAGAATATTTTCAAAAGAAGACAGAAGGAAGGCCAAAAGGCACATGAAAACATGCTCAAAGTCACTAATTATACGAGAGATGCAAATCAAAACAACAATGCGGTACCATCTCACACCTGTCAGAATGGCCAACATCAACAAATCGACAAACGACAAGTGTTGGCGAGGTTGCGGAGAAAAAGGAACCCTCGTGCACTGCTGGTGGGAATGCAGACTGGTGCAACCACTGTGGAGAACAGTGTGGAGTTTCCTCAAAAAACTGAAAATGGAACTCCCATTTGACCCAGTTATCCCACTCCTAGGAATATATCCCAAGAAACTAGAAACACCAATCAGAAAGGATATATGCACCCCTATGTTCATAGCAGCATAATCTACAATAGCCAGAATTTGGAAACAGCCTAGGTGCCCGTCAGCAGATGAATGGATCCAAAAACTATGGTACATCTACACAATGGAATACTATGCTGCCATAAAGAAGAAGGAATTCTCATCATTTGCAGCAACCTGGATGGAATTGGAGAACATCATGCTGAGTGAAATAAGCCAATCAATGAAAGAGAAACACCACATGACCTCACTCATTTGTGGATAATAAAGAGCATTATAAACTGATGAACCAAAAGATAGATATAGAGACAGTAAAGCAACAAGCAGATTGTCAAATTACAGCAGGGAGGGGAGGAGGATCTGGGGGAGATAATAGATCAACTGAAGGACTTGTATACATGCATATAAGTACAACCAATGGACATAAAACTATGGGGAGGGAGGGGATATGGGGGAGGGAGGGAGGGGGGCAAAAATCATTAAAATATGTAAAATAAATAAATTAATTAATTAAAAAGAAAAAAAAAGAAAAAAGAAAATGAAGTCATTATTACCACAATAAACCAAAAGAAACTTCAGAATAATCATTGTTACTTAAAAACTTTTAAACAGAGCATGGAACAAATAAAAATAAAAAAACACACCTGTTTTTATAAAATGCAATGTCCAATGTATTGAGAAGCTTTAAGTTGTGACAATAATTAGTCTAGTCATTCCACATTTCAGGATATTAAAATTTTATCAATAAATATAGAATATAAAATAATATCAATAATAAATAACAATTGCTACTAACAGTTATTGAAAGCTTCCAATAAAGAGGTGCCTTCCTTTATTTCTAAAAGAAAGAAAATATAAATGCACAGCATCAAATATCTCTGATGAAAGACAGTGCTGAATGAAGAAATAGCATATTGGGAATAAGGTTTCAAGTATTGTTAATGCGCTAGGACTTCATGACACAGATTCTACCAACATGAGTACATATATATTTCACTTTTCATGAATTTTCTTCTTTGGAAAGAAGAGACCCATCACTCTGTCACGAATCTGCTTGGTTTTGACACCATATACCAAGGGATTGACTGCGGGGCCTACCAGAAGGTACAAACTTGCAAAAATTATGTGGACGCTTGGGGGGACCTTCTTGCCAATGCGGTGGGTTAGGAAGCTAAATAGTGCAGGTGTGTAGAAGGCAAGAATAGTGCAGACATGGGCAGCACAGGTGCCCAGTGCTTTAGAGCGGGCATTCTGGGAAGAGAGCTGAAAGACAGCCTGGAGGATTTTGATATAGGATGTGGCTATGAGCCCTAGGTCCAATACCATCACTGAAAGGGCCACTGAGATTCCATATGCTCTGTTAATGAGAGTGTTGGCACTGGCCAACTTCACCACTGCCATGTGCTCACAATAGGTATGATTGATGACATTTTGGGTATAATATGGTAGCCTCTTAATGAGAAGAGGACAGGGTAAAACCATAAGTGTAGCTCGGGTCATGCAACCCAGACCCAATATAATGACCATGGTTGTTGTCAGGATGGTGGTATAATGCAGTGGGATGCAAATAGCCACATACCTATCAAAGGCCATGGCAACTAGGAGGGCTGACTCGATTATGCAAAATGTGTGAATGAAATACATTTGTGCTAGGCAGATATTAAAGTCAATCCCATGAACTTCCAACCAGAAGATACCAAGCATCTTGGGGGCTACGGAAAAGGCAAGAGCCATGTCAATCACTGCCAGCATGCAAAGGAAGAAATACATAGGCTGGTGGAGGCTAGGCTCTAGTTTGATGGTGACAATGATTATGCTGTTCCCCATCAGGGCCAGGACAAGCATGAGGCAGACAGGAATGCCAATCCAGCAGTGAAAGTCTTCCAACCCGGGAATACCAACCAGGAAGAAAGAAGAGATGTAGGCATGTGTAGAATTGTCTGTCATATTAAAACTCAGTAAACTGCATGCTCACATACTCAGTAGACAGTTAATTCTCCACTGGAAGAAATCGTGTAACAGAGAGTGATTCTTCTATGGCTCAGCAAGTAGAAAATCCAGACAGGATTTAATAGCCTACCTGGAGGGCTGACTCCTCCTAAACCTCTGTCAGTAATCAGGTATACCACTTCGCCATTCTAAGTTTCAGCATCTTGACCTGCAAATGATAAGACTGGGTTCACGTATTTCAAATAATTATAATTTTATTCAATTCTACCCTGTAGTTTTGATTTCTTGTCAGAGGGTCAATTAGTAATATAATAGCCTCATTATTGTGTGAAATCCCACATGATTCTGTGATAGGAACAGTATTAGAGAAAAAAAAACCAAGTTGACTTTTCAAAGAAATTGATATCAAGTGTGCATACATATACATTAATACACACACAATAAATTACAGGTTTTTCTAAAATAATATTTATTCATAGTTAGCATACTAAAATAATTAGCAATTTAGAATAAGATCTTGTAACCCTAAAATATAGAATGAACTGTTAAAAATTAAAGGCAACCAATGACCTATCATTAATCACAAATTTCTTCCTATTTTCAATGAATTCCATAAGAAGACCTTAAGATGTAGAGCATAACATAATCATATTAACAGAAGAAAAAAAAGAAATATATTCTTTCTTCATGCTGTCAAATGACTTAAAGTTGCTGCAAAGAAGCACAATAGTTGTTAATAAGCTCCATCTATTTTCTGCAGAGCCCTGACTTCCAGGTGCAGATATCACTCTTTCTATTTTAGCACCTTCCCTGACTAACAATAGTGCAGGAGAAAGCAAGTGCATTTCAGTCCTACTGGTCTCTGCACCAGTAGTTCCTTGTGACTCTTGTTCTCACCTTGTCCTTTTGTTTTGCTAACTGACCCTATTGTTCTTCCTAGCATCCAGGTTTTCCCAAGTATCATACTTCTGGCATATGCACTGCACTCTTCTTATCATGCTTTTAACTTATAATTGCTCCCAGCATCTCAATTTATGGTCCTGAACATCACTAATGTAAAAACACGGGATGTATTGTTAAATAATCTTTAATGTCAATGAATCCTTGTGTAAATGCCTAAATCTAAATAATATTTGTGTGTGTGTGTGTGTGTGTGTGTGTGTGTGTGTGTGTGTGTGTGTGTGTGTGTGTGTGTGTGTGTGTATGTGTTGGGGGGTGATGGAGGGGAAATAGTCAGTTTATCGTATCTACATTCTACTATCAATCAAACTGGTGCTATTCCAGGCATAGGTGCATAAGTACCTGAGGTTTTTCCTTGTTCAAAGTTAAAAATTTTTTATATACTTAATAAAAATTCAGAACTTAAGCTTTAGCCACAATAAAGAAGCTTAGTGTTGTGGAAATTACTGCATAAGTGGATGAAGTCTATAACCCAAGAATTTAGGACAAAACCTGCAAATACTGAACATTCAGAGTACAAAAAGGTCTTAAATATTTATCAAACTCTTGCTCTTTGCAAATTCTCAAGTGATTGTTTTCCACTTGGAAATTTGGTTGGTCAAGTTCCATTCTTATATTTGCTTCTGGGAAAATCAAACATACAAAAGGCTAACCAACATAAGATTACAAGCATAATCACTCATGGTATATATATATATATATATATATATATATATATATATATATATATGTAAATAGTTTAAAATCCTCTTTTAGTTTTCAATAAACTAACTTACAATATAGTAACATGTCATCCACATAAAGAGAAAAGCAGCACTTACAAGATCATAACATGTCATCTGTACCAAGAGAAAACAAGTAAAGTGACTTCTTAACAAGGGAAGCTTCCTGTCAGAGCCATAGAATGTGGCACACAGAGGAAATTAAGGAGAACTGCCCCCAAATCATGGTCTGCTTGTACAGTTATCCCTCTCACCTCAAAAGCTATCTTTGTCTTCTCCCAAACCTTCTTTGAAATAAATTTGGAGAAATGTATTTATTTCAATAAGGTTATTCTTTATATTATCTTCGGCTGTCTGCCAGGTAATCCAAATAACTGCCCAGACTTCTCTAATTTTCTACTGGCAATACCATTCTATCTGCTTCTGAACCATATATGTACCTTATTTCTCTGGCAACCTAAGCTTTGCTATTTGGTCTGTTTCTGAGTCAGCATTTTCTCTTGCCTGCAATCTGCCACTGCAGAGTAGAGAACTCTATTGGAATACAGTGGTCTTTTCTCTAAAGTCACTTTTGAATACTTTATATATTTTATATTAAGGTATTGAAATAAGAACAAAGAAAAATACCTCAAAGTAACCTCTCCCATTCTTTTCACCCAAATGTATCTTATTTGTTGATAACAACAGATGCCACCCAGCCATTAAGGATTCTCAGAATTATCCTTGCCTTCTGTATTTGTACCACTCCAGTCAAGGAGCTACGGGGTCTTCATTTCTGTTGAAGATCTTACCATGTACTCTTTGTGCTTTTCTTGTTTTCACTTGCATGTCATCTTCTTCAGACTATGAATACCCAAAGGAAAGCCCTTAATGTCAGTAAACTCTCAGCGGAGTCTGAGGAAATACCTGGTGTTTCTCTATGTCCTCCACAGTCCCTCAAGAATTTCACAGAACTGTATCTTCCTCTCAAGGTTTCTGACCCACCAGCAATAATTTATTCATAGTCATTGCCTACTCTTCATTATATCGTATCTTAGAATATGATATTTTAAAATAGTGTCTGCTTATGAGTACAATCTCACAATCCTTAAAATATTGTAGATAGTGATTAAAAATAACTATCATTCTTTGAAAAACATGAAATTATATTTTATACTGAAGCAGCTAGACCAATATGCATATCTTGGAGTTCTTAAAAATTACAACAGTGTATCAATCAGTAGTAAGGACTGTGTGGTCAAGTTGGTAGTAATGGTTGCTTTGTAATAGGCTATTTCAGTATTCAGGAGATCCCTCTGGAAGGCTGATGGGCCTCTTAGGAAAAATAAGATTGAAGGAAAAAGAGATCTGGGCCAGGATGAAGCACAAAACAATAACAATGTCCCCCCTGGAAAACTGTACTTACATTGTAAATTAAAAAAAAAAAAAAAAAAACTAAGAGGTTAATGACTTCAATTTTAGTTCTGACATGTAATAAGCTCAGAATTGTTATTCCTGTCCTGACCTGGAAAAGCTAGGCAAACTGGATATCAACGACTTTTCTTAAAGCCTTTATAGAAATGAGGTCACAGGGCAAGTCATCCAACTCAAACACAGAGGGACAAGCACATCCAAGGAGGTACAGCTTATGTTATCAAGCTGCTTGGAGCAGAGGTCATTTAAAGTTACAACAGTAAACACACTTCACTATTAAATCTGACCGGTTGCTGGGAGCTGCATATACATTATCATGAGCTTGAGAAACTCTCTTGTCTTCATTCAAAAGTGTCCCACATATTACATAGGCTTCACTTATAAAAACACCAACAGAGTCTCAGTTAGGATCAAAGAAATATCCCCTGTTGGAAGAGAAGTCCATGTGAAACTCTCCCAGAACTCTCCGTATAAAAACAGCTTCTTCTGCAAGGGGGAAAAGTCTTAGCTAGAGGGCAATACTGGGACCTTATCTCTTCTAAAGTCAAACATTTCAGCCCACTCCATTCCTTCCTAATCTCATCCTGAGGGTTTCAGGGGGGATATAGTCAATAGAGGATAGGGCATCAAAGAACTAGATTGGAACCACTGCATCCAAGGAAGGGAATATAGGGAAAGAGGGGAGGAAAGTAACACAAATCCTCTTCCTCCATAACCTACCACCTCAACAAATCTTTAGTTCAGTGACAGTGGAATATATTACAACATAACCTTCTCTGAGGAGCAGTAGAAAGTGAAATGCCAGAGCTAAAAATAGAGCCATAATCAGGACAATACTACCCCATAAATATAATTTGCCTTTTTCTCTGAGTCCATTAGGATTATTTAATTATATTTAGCTGTCATCTATTTGGCTATCCTATGGTGGAGTATGATTCTCTTTTATTTTATTGACTATATTGTGTCAAATAGTCTGAAGATGTCAATTAAGTCCATCTGATCTAAGGAATCGTTTAGGATTGTTGTTTCTTTGCTGATTTTTTTGTGTAGAAGAATTATCCATTGTTGTCAATGGGTATTAAAGTCCCTTACTATGATTGTAGTATTGTTTTTCTATCCCTTGATATCTTCCCTGAACTTTTTAAATTTTATTTGGGTGCTCCTGCATTGGCTACATATACATTTATCAGGATTATATCCTCTTATTGTATTGATCCCTTAGTATTATGAAGTAGCCTTCCTTATCTCTTGTTATGGACTTCACTTTCTGGTCTATTTTTATCCACTATAAGTATTCCTACCCCAGCTTTTTTTTTTTTTTTTTTTTTTTTCATTTCCGTTTTCTTTTACTTTCAGTCTTTATGAGTTTCTTGTTGTGAGGTGGGTCTCCTGTAGACAGCATATGTATGGGTCATTTTTTTTTTTAAACCATTCAGCCATTCAATGTATTTTGCTTGGAATATTTAGTCCATTTACATTTAAAGTTATTGATAGGTACTTGTTTGTATCTATTTTTATTTTTTGTGCCTGTGTTCCTTCTTACCTTTTTTATTTCTTCTTTTTACACCAGTCCCTTTAGCATTTCTTGCATTTCTGGCTTGGTAGTGATAAACTCCCTTAGCTTTTTTTTTTTTTTTTTTTTTTTTTTTTTTTTTTTGTCTGTGGAGCACCTTATTTCCGCTTCAATTTTGAATGATAGTCTCACTGGATAGAGAATTCTTGGATTCAGACCCTTGGTTTGTATCACTTTATAAATTTCCTTCCATTCTTTTCTGTCCTGATGCGTTTTTGTTGAGAAATCATTTGATAATTTAATGGGAGATCCCTTGTACATAACTTTTTGTCTCTCTCTTGCAGCCTTTAAGATTCTCTCATTGTCCTGAATATTTGCCATCATAATTA